GTCTGGTCCTCAGCCAAATAGCTTCCCCCTCATTCTTGTCCTCCAGACGCAGAGGGAGCAGGGAGATGGTGTACACTGTTACAGAGCATGCACTGGATTTGCTACTCTGTTTTTGGGGGGGCTGCCCAATTCATGACACTACCAAGCTTATGAAAGTAACATAGCAGTAAGAAACTCTTTGGAAGATTCTGCTTCTCATTCATATATCTGATTTCATTAACTCATAAATTGTGACAATTTGCTATAAACTAATGAATGAACCACTAACTTGGGACATCATTCATTATCATAAAGCTATTTCCTGCCTGCTTAATTAAGTTCCAAGAATGCTCCAGCAGAAGGAAAGCAGAAGCAGACCCTCTGGGGAAGTGATAAACGCCAGAGGCTGGGGGCCCCCCTGCCAGTTTCAGCACAGCTAAACATGCTAGGTTCTCTCTCTAGCTAAAGAGTCTTGGCCAGTCTGGGAATTCAACTCTAGCAACACCTCTGACTAGCAGCAGTATCTGTGGATCCCACAGTCGAATTTCCACCAGCATTGCATAAAACCAGAGAAAAAAACATTTTCCACAGTGCGCCTAATTTTTGCTCTAAAAACCAAGACTAATTTTCTGCGGAGGTGTGTAGACATCAGCCTACCTTTCTTAAGCTTTAGCATAGCAGTTGCAGAACTGTCCACCAAGCTTTGCAGTTTGGGTTATTAATCATATATAGTGCCAAAAAACAGAGCCAAAAGAGAGTGGTTCAAGCTAAACAGCAGAAACATTCAGAAGATACTAAAGAAATGACCATTTTCTGGTAGCACAGGCACAGCCCGAAGCACAACTGCCTGGAGAAAACCATTCTTTCCCTTCTGTCCACTAAGCAGGGCAAAAAAAAAACCCCTCCTTCACCCGCTTTGCATCCTATCACTCAGCGTTCCCAGACACATAGCAGGAGGCTCTCCCTGCCTCAGAGATTTACCTGCTTTCCTCTGGATTGGTGCTGGGACTTTAAGAATTGTATCATATCTAAAAAACGGACATGAAGAATCTTTATCACAGGCATCTCCGCAGACACACACGGCTTCTCATAACCAGTCAGCTTACTACAGCCCAGTTTCAGGAGCAAAACGGAAGAGAACTCCTCGCTCCCAGGGCCCCCGCCCAGGGAGTGGTTAGCCAATTCCCTGCAGCTGAGCCAGCCCGCAGAGACCCTCCGTAGGGTAGGCAACTCATCTATCACCCTTCCTTACGGCTCCAGCTGGTGCAGTGTTTTAGGCCTTCCAGTCAGGTCTATGTCTCTGCTGCTTCTTTTGATGGTGATGTCTATTTTGAAAGCTGATCTTCTGCCAAGCAATGGCAAGTATTTAAGGTCTTCCTAGCCAGTGAAATGCAAATTATGGAGAATTCAAGTCCAGACCACATTTAATTTGTTTTATTTACATATGAACTGCAGCCCGGAACAGAGGTGGTCAAACACCTGGCCTGCTTCCTCCAGCCAACAGTATCCTGTTGTCCACATGTAATTTGGCCTCAAAAATTGCTTGTAATTAGATATCAAAGCAGAAACTTAGCCCTTCTGTTTCTCACTGTAGATTCCTATTTCCAGGGTCTTGTCTAATGAAAACCAACTGTGGCACATGCTGACCTCCCTCTCTGCAAGAATAAAAATAACTCAGAAGATTATATGTATCAGCATTATGTGGTGACATCCACTATAACAATATCATATACCATGTTGACTTCATCATTGCTCTAAAGGTTTTGCTCTCTCTGTATCACTCCCTCTTGAATGAGTTACTGGGGAAAACATTGCTTCTCATCAGCATTTTTCAGGTTCATCCACTATAAAGATAGCCCACTAGAGCTTTAAAATTTACCTTTGAACTTTTTTTATCATTGCATTGTTCACTTCATAAATTCTGTCCTACAGCAGCCCAATCATATCTCCAAATAACACTGATAGGACAGAAGAAATTGTGAGACACAGCAATTTTCTATTTTGTAATGGAGACATGCATATCCACCCCAGGGACCTTAGTAAACATACCTGTGAATAAATTCTCATACTCCTTGCACTGGTGGGTAAATATTGCAGTTCGAGGAGAGATACAAACAGTATCCTCCCTGGTCTTGTGCTGCAGGAGACTTACACAGGACCCCACAGGGTTCCCACACAGTCTTCAGGACTTACATAGGCTGGAGCAGTTTCCAGGCATTTATTGTTTAACCATCTCTATACTTCATGGAGTACCTAAGTGTGGCTCCCTTTTAACTTATGTGGAAATGGACTTGTGAACGGACCAATTTAGAGTCGGTGAAGGAGCCAGGTCTTAGACAGTCTCAAAAACATTCACACCACCAGATCCCCTGTCCCAAAATGATGGTAGCAATGCTTCCTCACCTCAGTGCATTTCTGCTAGTATGTCTCTCCAATCTGTATTCTGACGCTGCTGCTGCCACCGAACAGAAAGCTTCTGCTCCCACAAACAACTCCCCTGCCTTCCTTGCTGAAGGAAAGATGACTTACGAGACAAGTCTATTCCCAAACCAATTGAAACCTCCAAGGATTAGGTAAAAGAACTTGTATTACTGGCAGAAGCAGCCAAACAACTTCAGAAGCACACTGGTGCTTTCCAGGCTGAAAGACTTGGTACTGCGTGCACAGTTGAAGATTAAAAAAAGAGCATTTGATGCGGAATAGGCAAAAAAGCTGGAAAAAGGCTGAAATGTTTATAAAGTCAGAGTTTTGGCACCTAAACTTGCTGCTGAATAATATCCTTTTCTAAATGGAGTTTCTTTTATGAATGGAAAAGAAAAATTCTGATCTTTTGAGACTATACCCAGATTTTTCAACCACAGTTCAGTTTGCCCAAAAAGGTACAGAAAGGGACCAATTCCAGCTAATCTGTGTATTAACTTCACCAAGAAAAACAACAAAATTCCTGGTTATGAAAGAAAAGGGATACTAATTCTTGAATCTGTTCTTCAAATGAGTGTTACAAATAAGAAGGCTAAAGCCAAACTATGACATTAGAAACTTTGAAATCTATTTTTTGTCATGGTCTAAATAGGAAAGCATAATAAAAACACTGCTTTCCTGTTGAACTAGAAGCCTAAACTTCTTAGTCAGTACTTCTGTTTGGCTGGGTTGGTTATTTCAGATTCCTAAAATGAACTGAAGAAAAAAATCAGTGAGACAGGCCTGCTGTAAAGGCAGCTTTGTGCCAGCATCAGAGCTTATGTATTTTTCATCAAAGTAATAATTACTATGCTTTCTTTAAGACCCTAGGAAAACACGTAAGCATTGTGTAGATTCAAAGTACGTGGTTCCATGGCAGTGCATCACATGCCTAAAAAGAAACAGCCCACAAGCAACAGAGCCTGAGAATCACAGTGGTGAGAATCCATAACAAAACAGAAAAGGCTAAAAAAGAATTCTAGTGTTTTTCCTGTCAAACTGAAAAAAAGTTAACACAAAGGGTGAATTACAGTCCTTGTTGGATTTTTTACTGTTTGTTTTTTGCATTTCTCCTAGATGGGTATGAACCCAAGGTTCTTTGTAATTTTTCAGTCATGTTCACCATTGGATACCATGCCTTAATTCAACACTACAAATCAGAATAGTGTATGAATGGTGGTAACTGAAAAACTTCGGAGTTCAAGCGCTTGTTGGGAACTAAACAAGCTACCATTCTAATGCTGAAGCTAAATGTGTACTGAATGTTTCCCCGCGATGTCAGAATCTCCAGTCTATGCTATTTTTGAAGGAACTACACCTTCATTATCAAAATAAACAGGCAAATATCCTCATCAATCCTTCCTTTCCTATTGCTCTGAAGAACAAGAAAGAAATGATTGACCACATCAGAGCAGACAGCAGTGTGTTTTTGATAGAAAGTGAACATCAAGGTCATGGCACACGCAGCACTTTCATCACTGAAGGTCAGTCTAGGGGGGAGAAAAAGAAATTGTGATGGCTTTATACCCCCATTGCTTCAGAAGAGTACCTGAGATGAAGTCAGAGCATTTGTAATGTTCATATTAGGCACGACTGCCCTGTGAGGTAGGGGTCATGTTATACATGTCTCCTTAATCCTGGAGTTATCAGGGGTGCATGTGTCCTGCTACTAATTCACATTTGGCCAACATTTTTAAGGATTTCAGCTGTACCTTGTGATATCTTATGCCAAGCAAACACACAGACATCATTTCAGCACTACAGCACAAGAAACAATGGGAGAGATGACTTGCTGTGCATGCTCCTCTCCCTAGCTGTCCAGCTCCACTGTCACAACTGGAAAGCAAAGCTCGGTTAGAGGAAGACTAGATGAATTTCCCTTGTCTAAAGAGCCTTGATTTTAACAGGAACAGAAGGACCATGTCTACGTGGTCAAGTGCTGGCAGCTGTCTCATTAGTTCTTCCAGGCTAGCGTATCTTAGAGCATTCTAGATTGTTAACACAGAACCTGTTTAGTCCTACCCATCTGGGTAAAATATGGCCATACGGCTTATATGTGAGCATGTTATGCCTGACATCTGATTGTGCAAGACCTTTTCTGTTAAGGTGCACCGCATTGTCTGACTTAGTAGATTCCTCCACACTCTAGTGAGAAACAGCATTAGCATTACTGTCCCCCCACAGGTCATACTTCTGTTCAAAACAGGAGCAGAAACATACTACATGAACAATACAGTACAAGGGTTTCCTACATTATACAACCGCCTAAGATGTTACACATTTTACAGAAGAAAAAAAATCCATGTACATTTTGTTTTTCTAGCTGTATTCTCGAACCACATAGCCATCCAGACATTTCATGCTTACTCATTTTCAAAAGGGCAACAGATTGAGAATGCAAAAAAACTTTATTGGCATAAAAAGTACATATTCAGTAATCAACACTCAAATTCCTTCACAGCACCTGGTATGTGTGATACATTTGGGTATCTGCTACAGCTGGAGGAAGAAGGGGTTATAAGATGGCAGAGGTTTAGGGTTAGCAGGGGGTTGGTGGTGGGTGTTTTTTGTTCTGTGCTTTTTTTTTTTTAAGTTATGTAAACAATTCGGAGTGAAACCTGTACAAGCAGAATATTAGCTATCATTTATACACTTAAAAGTTAAATAAAAACCAATTTCAGCAATACAAAAAGCAATGTATAAAAGTACTCAGCTGCATGACAAATGGATAAGAAAATGTAGAAGGGTACAGCAAGTAAGTGAACAAGTTTTAAAAGTTAGATCATACTGGAAATTCTATGTATCTGTATGGCTGAACATGAAAGACATTATAAAATTACTTGGTTCCATAAGAGATCCGTACAGTTGCCTCTATTTCAACTTCATTAAACACAAATATCTTAGAACAATACACTGATTAAAAAGAATAAGGAAAGTTTATTCAAGTTTAAAATTTCAAGCTGCCTATTTGATAGAGTAACTAGACAGAGGTAGATGTCCAATGTTAGTGGCCAAGCTATTGTAGCAAGACCCTTTAGCTATCTTGTCAAGTTTTTACATTCAAAGCCAACCTGAAAAGGTTTCATAGATGAAGGATGTCTTTCAAAAAGCCAGCCAGAAAACCTGTACTGCTGATGGAAGTAGTTTCAATTATACTGCTGACAGTGACAAGTATGTAAGAATAAATCATTTACCAGACCACTGTAAGGACACCACCAATCAAGCACTAGAGCTCATGCAGTTGTTTCAAAAAAAGTGAATTTGTTAATTTCCTATGCTTATTTTAGAAGGTGAACCATTGCTGCCCATCTGGCTCATAACTAGTCAAAATAAGATTGCAGGGTACCACGGCGGCGGATATCACATGTCCAGCAATGGAAACCACCTCCCAGTGAATTGGCATGGCGAATATTCACTTTAATTGTAGAAATGCCTGCAAGAAACATACATTGCATACTTTAAAATCTCAAATTCATATGGCAGGCTTCGATCAGAACATTAGATAATGTTTTACCAGATCATATGGCTAAATGCAAGTACGGAAAGTATTTCTTACTCATTTGTTAAGAATTTCTTTTCCCAAGTTCTATGCAGAAAACAAGGTAGGAACATAGCTGGTTTGTTTTTTCCAGCAATACCCTCAGGAATATACAGTGCCTGGAGCACAGACGGTGTTTGATGTGTTATGATGTACCAGTAATAAAAAGAAAAATTCAGCTTTTGCTGTATGTGAAGAATTAGCTGAAATTCTACTACAGTATATGACTAGGGCATATTTACATAAATCTGTATGAGCATTTATGGTTCAGACACTGAATGTGCTCTTTCAAGTGCCTTTCAAGAAAAGAAGCAGTTAAAGTACAGAGCTCCAAGTCCCTCTTTCTCTGAAAGGGGAAAGAGGCTGTTAGACTTACTACCTAGGTGAAGCTTCCTCCCACTTCTTTTCAGCTCTGACGTTCCAGCTGAGGCTCAGCTTACACAGAGCCCTGACAGGTAGACTAGGATCAGAAGATTTTTCTGTTATGAAGTTTGCCTTTTTGCTTCTTGGTACTTCCAGGAACTCAGGAGCAGCGCAGTAGAATCTATAATCTAGGTCAGCAAGAGTTTTGTTCCCAGTAGACCCATCTCAGTCCTAGGAACTTACTGACTACAGGAGTTTATTTAGAACTTGCACAGACTGTGAAGCCCCAGTGTGAAAGATATGTCATGATTAGTATTAGTAGCCTCATTTTTTAAGTACTTTCAAGCATTTATAAATCCTCAGCTCCCTGGTCATGCAGGGAATTAAAACAACCTAAGATTGAAAAGCTAAGTGATTTGCCAAAGGTTATAAAGCCAGTCTTCAAAAGGAGATTAAAGCATTAGATTGCATGGTTCTCACCTGCAATCTGTCTCAGAATTGAGGGAAGCTTCAGTAAGTGGACTCATATCCATGGCACCAACCCTTCTTCTAGGTTCACAGTTGCTATCTTCCACCTTTGGATCATTCTCTCCTTCCCATCATTTTTCTCCCTTTAAAGGGGTTTTCTGCTAACGGGGAGTATTATCTTTCACTCTGCAATACAATGATCCCTTACCTCCCTCAATTTCTCATCTACCCACTGGTCTGTCTACCCTGTCAACTTTTGTATCACCATGTACTTATCCTTCAGCAACAGTCAGCTGGCTATAGCACCAAGCAATATGGCTACCCTCCTACTAACCAACTATGAGCCACAAGTAGATCTACCTACATCCTTCCCTCCCAGCATGATGAAAGCAGTTGAATTAACTGTGTGAGTTCAGATTTTTAAGTCTACATTATTTGTCTTTGGAGTTAACTGTGCATAATAAGACTTTCAGATTTTATATTCAATTACAATTCTCCTGCCGTGGCATATCTAAAGGAACTTCACACTATCATGAGGCTACATCTCACAGGACTGAGGTTCTCCATAAATGAGCAGAAACACTTGGGTTAAGTGGTCTTAATTTGACAGTTTAAAGTACAATGAGTTTGAAACTAGAAAAATTTGAAAGCATTCCGGCAATGAGGAATAGCCAGTTCTACATCACTCAGCAATATGCATGCTCAAGCTGTCCAAGACAGATTTTGACCTCCAGACTGAACTGACAGTTTTACATTAAAAAGAGCTCTTTCAACAGCATGCTAGCTGTAACTTTAATTGCTACTCATACCTTTATTTGCTGCAAGCTGTAGGGGGCAGAAGATGTAAGAAGCCCATGTTCATATGGCTGAAATATTCAGGAGAGAAGTCACTGAATGGTTCTTAATTGCTAATCCAATTGTTTGGGTACCTTTTCCAGTGCTGGCTACTGTGACTAAGTGAAACCTCCATCCATCCTGATGTGCATAGCTGGTATGAAGATAATTTCATTTTAAGTATATGTTGAAATATTTTAGGACATACCCAGATTTTCAAACATCTTCTGAATTGATGTCTCATTGGCATCTACCATCACACGTTTCTCATCCAGCATCAGGACATTCATGGAGAGCCATTTAGAAGACATCCACAGTGGGTGATCTAAACACATGAGAACAAGCCTTCTACAATAACTGCAGATTTTGTACCAATGTTGTCCTATATTAATACTCTTAAGGATACTCTTGGAATTCTTAGACAAGAAAGAGTGAGTATACCATCTGGGATGAGTGGCACTGGGGGGCGAATGACGGTCCAGCCTGCTTTCTTGAAAAGCTCAATCTGAAAGAGCAATTTAATTAGATCTAAACAGGGTTCTTAAAGTATCACATTATGTCCCTCAACCTATGTCACATTTTCTCATGCTATTTCAATATACATGACATCCCCTTCCCTCTCTTCACTGCTCTTGCCCTCATGCAAGTTCCATCTACAACCCCCACTTTCATACAAGCATTTTTGAAAGCCTTTTCAAACTTTGCATGCTACTAACATTTGTTTCTACTGGTTTTGTATATGCTAAGTATACTAAGATACATTAAAGACAAAAAGTAACACATGCAGTTTGGAGCCTGTGAAGTAGAGGTATTAGTAACAACACAAGTATTAAATTCTTTAATTTTGGTATTATTTCTTCCCATGTGACTGTAAAAGCCACTGATATGAATTATACTGCCATTTATAGAAACAAAACCACAAAAAACACCACATAATTTTAAATTTGCATCATGCTTCATAAGAAACCTAAGATATAGTTTATACAAAAAAAAGGGAGAAAACTAAAAGCATCCTAGGTAAAGATTCGTGTGTAAGAATTACACAATTAAGTTTAGAATAAGAGGAGGATAATTTAGCTAAGGAGAATTAACTTTTCAACTTCCTTGTCTAAATACTTGAAAGAGCTTTTTATTCAGGTGTTACCACGAGGTGGAGCTCCGACCCTGAGAACTCAATAACCAGCCTGGCCTACCAGAATTTTAAAGAAAAGCCCCCTTTCACCCACACCTCCCCTCCATTTCCTGGGCATCCAGAACTGCCAAATCAGTTTTTATGAAAGAAAGCTGCATCTATCTTTGCTATCTACACAGACCACAGTTTTCAACAAAAAAAGTCCCAGCACTCAGGTTTAACACAAGGAGACCAAAAGCCTCCTCTTGAAAGCAGGATTATAAAAACAGGGTAAGCGAAAAGCGGTGGAAAAGACTATGTGTTTTTTTAAATATATATATATATTCTCATAATGGATATTACAAGAGGCAATAATTCAAAACAGATCGCTTCCATCACATTTAAACTATGTACATAGGAAGAAACACAACACATCTACCTAGCCTCATAGTAAGAAAGCACAAAGAGCAGTAGCAGAAAACTGGGGGGCAACAATGGTCATTGTATTGCTGAGAAAGTTCTAGAGTGAATATGCAAATACATCTATAAGTTCCTGAACAACTGAGTGCTATTTGAATTCAATGATCTAATATTAGTCAAGTATATACAAAATAAACTTGTGGATTTGCAATTATCCAGCAGGGACCTAATCCTGCCGAGTCATTTTTAAACACAAAATACTTTTCCTTCTGCTACAGTCTTACCTGATGGCAGGGACGGTCTGGGTTAGAGAGCACAAGACCTGGTCCAATGATATTAAAAGTGGCATCAATGTGCATAGGGTTAGGATCCTTAAAGGATATTACATGCACTCTGTAGTCTGGTGCAAGATGGCGCCTCATCCATTCAATGCCCATGTAGTTTGTCACCTGAGAACAGGACCAAGTTTCACTAGGCTAGAATATAAACTGCAACCAAGCTTAGTTTATCTAAGGTTTTATTTAAATAAATACTTAAAGCCAAAATAACAGAAGTTTGTGCCTTTAGCTAATCTCTTAGCTGTATGACAGACTCATCCTGTGTATCAGACAATCTCTGAATAGCAACTTCGTTTGTTAATACTTGTTTTAATGCTGTTAAGGAATACGTAAACACAAGAATCAATCATTAAGATAGATACCAAAGCTGTTGGAATAAACCTTTTTTTACCTGGCTCCTTTGTACAAAGATATCTCTTCCAGCTCTGATGAAGTCAGCAGCATCAAAGCATGGCTCAAATTCAGTAGTTACAAATTTTCCCTGAGCAGCCAGTTTATGCCTGTCTTCAACAGAGCGGATTGGATAATCCTAGTTATAGAAAAAAATAGTAACAATTTTAGGTTGGAGATGGTAAGGGAAAGATATCAAACCATTTGCTCCTGAAGAGTATTCTGAAATTAAGAAAACATGTTTTTTATTGATAGCTAGTAAGTTCTTTGGTGGTGGTTTGGTTTACTTGTCACTAGAGTAAAAAAAGAAAGCACAAATGTGGAAGCAAAAGTAAAAGGTTTTAAATACACTCAAGAATAGGTGATAAGAGACATTAGTTATACCAAGAAGTTAATTGCTCTTCAGAGTCACTGTCTCTATAGTATTTTGGCTTCTCGATCAAAAGTATTCATTACCAGTGGAGTTGAACTACCAGTCCAATAAATCACTGCACAGCAACAGAATACTGATATGAGAGCTATAATCTAACAAAGGTGGACTCCCTACTTTTTCCACATTTTAGAATGGAGCAGTACTTCAAACTAGAAGGTAGATCATCAGTAATTTAAATAGATTTTTAGAATGAAGCAATGCAATTAAGAACAAATGAGGTAAAAAACCAGCACAAACAAAAACTCTTGAGGAAGTAACTATGCTTTAGAACAGGCTCAGGAAGTTTTCTAATACTGAGAGATTACTCTAAGGTAATTTGTTTAACAAGGACTTCTTTACATCGCTGGCGAGATGTCACTGTTCCCAGAAAGTTATAATCACTCCACAATCAGATACACTTATTGTAGATGCTCTTACCAAGGTCCTAATGCATTTTGGGGCTTACAGGAAGCTAGCAAAACTGTCCGAGTCAAGATTATGACAAAAAAAAAACTTAAGAAAGCATTCACTTAAATATTTGGAAAGTAAATACTTACAGTTTAGATCCTCCACTATTTATTCTACATAACTTTCAAAATACTAATCGTCATGCAAAACAAGGATTATGAGGGTTTTTTCCTGTAACAAAATATGTACATTCTTTCCCACTTTCCTGATATACTCAGGACATATGGATATTCTCAGGGAATCTTAAATCTCTAAAGAAATTATTGTGATGTCTTTCTAGCATTCCTTCCTCTTTACTAATGCTAAGTTACAGCCAGTAATCAAAACAATTCCAAGCAGACTTGAATTCAATAGGCACATTTTCCTGTTTCTTATTCCCTAATTGCACACACTCAGTTTCACCTGGAAAGGCTACAGAATATTTTCATACATCAGAAAAAACACAAGTTTCCAGAGTTGTTTTGTTCCCTGCCCCCGCTCCCAGTGTTGTGAAACCTAGATATCAGGTTGAAATTTTCCATAAAATTCCATATAACCAGAAGTGAAGTTCTGAAGCAAAATGAAAACAGTACCTGATCATAGAGTTCATCTGCCATTGTGGGTTTGGGGGCAGTTGTCCACTTAGCACCACCATTAAAATAATCTTTGATTATTCGTCTATAAGCTCTGTACTCAAAGAACCGAGCACGCCAAGCCATAGGCGCTTCAATAATTTCATTTCCCACCACCAACAGGATGTCTCTTGGCATGGCAGCGTACATACCTGAAAGGAAAAAGGCCATTAACCTACGAGGCAAATATGCCTTTCTCAGCTCTTCAGCTTATTTACTTTTCACCCTCCTTTTTACTATTACTTCTATACAAAAGACTGGCAAAAAGCATCTTCACAAAAGTCAGGAAACCAGCGCACAATTTGAGGTCCTTACAGTCTTCAGCAAGTTTTCAAAGTGACATTTTTTTCTTCAAAATACATGCAGCATTTTGCTACACAACCTCGCTCGTAACAAGTTCACGGCTAGATGAAAGCCATCCACAGTCTACAAGCCACTACTTCATAGTTTGGTTAATGGAAATTAACTAGACAAATGCTTATGAGTTACTCATACAACTTTAAAAGGTGATGATGGGTAGCAAGTTTTCCAACTGAACCTCATTTCTTTATATGCCATCCTTTTAAAAAGTAATAACACAGAAGAGGAATTTGATGCAACATGGAACTAGTGCAGGAAGCAGTCCCATTACATTTTTCATTAACATCATCTGTTCCCTAATGAATTCGAATTCCACTAGAACAACTAAAGAACACGTGTGACATGAAAGGAGCCTGGAGACTATGCTTGATGCAAACCTGAATATGAGCCAGCATGCTCTCACTGCAAATAACCAAAGCCAGGTAGTGCTACACAAGGAGGAACATAGCCAGTAGGTAAAGGGACATTCAAATTTCCTTGACACTAGTGAGGATCCTTCTGGAAAACTGTTTTGGCTTCCATAGTTTAAGCTGGATCCAACTCTAGCATCCAACAAAGGGCTATCAAGACAGTCAAGGTGTGGGGGGGTGGCTTACAGCACATGACCTGGGAGGACAAGTGGAGGAACCTCAGCTTATTTCATGTGGCAAGCAGGAGACAAAGCAGTAAGAGCCTACGGCTACTTTCAGGGCTGTTAAACATACTAGATGAACACTCCTTGGTAGTAGCAGCGACAACACAGCAAGGGAATCTGGCAATAAATACTGGTGTGGGAAGTTCGGGTTAGGTATTCTGAAAACGTTGTTTATTAGGAAATCCATGCAGCACCGAAACAGGTCAGCAAGCCAGGTGGCAGAGTCTTGGAGATTTTCCAAGTCATAGCAATACAAAGCCAGCACTGACCTCATATAACACTGGTAATAGTTGTGCTCCAAGCAAAAAGGTAGACTAGATGACATCCAAAATGTCTCAGACAAGAGCTAAACAGACAAAGCCTTCAACAACGGAAGAATATTTACCTGTAGACTCAAAATCAGGTGTTTTATACTTCACAGACCAGTCAAGCGGATCAGGCCTCTTGACAACTACACCTTCTCTTTTTAAAATATTGCACATCTCTTCAATTTCATCAATAGCTTTTTTTAAATGGTCTTTGGGGAAGCTCTGGCCTCCAAATTTCTGATAAAACCCCCAATATTTTTCATATGTGTTGGCCTAAAAAAAAAGGACAGGTAATTGGCAAAGAATAAACATCAATTATTTAAGCAGAGTGAAACAGATGCATAAGAGAATTCTTCATGTTCAGAGTTTCTTGTTCTTCTTTCACTTAGTCCCAATTGCTTTGTATGTGTTATGACCCTAACATGTCACAGTGTGCCTTATATTTCACAGAATCACAGAATGTTCGGGGTTGGAAGGGGCCTCTGTGGGTCATTTAGTCCAACCCTCCTGCCGAAGCAGGGTCGCCTACAGCAGGCTGCACAGGACCTTGT